TTGCCTTGATTCATTGACTGATTCTAGTTGTCAGTGCCTCTTCAGCAGTCTTGGAGCAAGTCCAAAGGCAGTTAATAAATAACTTCATAAGTTAACTTGGAGTGACTTCTAGAATGACAAATGAAATTTGGTGCACCTCCCTCAAGCCAGCAACCTGAGTAAACAGATAAGCTTTTAACATGCCCCAAAGGTCAGCAAGCTCCTGCTTGCTTGAACTGACAGGACAGAAGGGTGTAGAAATTCCCTGGTGCAATTCTGTCTGCTTCAAGAACTATTAAATCTAAAGGTAAGAATGTCTTCCAGGTTTTTTTTTTTTTTTACTTGCTAGTCTGATGACAGAGTTGATATGCTTCATGTGCCAGGGTGCAGCCTTTCTCTTTCTGAATAGATTGAGAGAAGAGAAGAAGGCAACATGCACTGCATAGTCTTCAATGAAAGGAAAACAAGCTAGGGCATCTTTAATAACAAGCAATGCTGGATGAGATGGAAAATATGTGACTATCTCTAATACTGTATACATCATGTGGAACAGCAACATATAATGTTTCTTTGAAAGTACTCCAAATATGATACCTGTTCCTCATAGTGCTCATTTGACATTTCCGGCTTGGAGAAAGGCATGGCTGAAATAGAGTAATTTACATTCCTTATTCAAGTAATTTATATGCCATTTTTCCTGTGCTCAAAGTGACTTCAAAGCATATATTCCAAAAGCACTGAAATGTTTGAAATGTACAGCTAATTACCATCAGAAATAGATTTTCCTTACACAAGACACGGAGGGAGGAATGGTACCCAGCTTAATCAGGAAATCTTTCCACAATTTCATGACACCTGGGTTAAAAATCATACCTTTTGATTGAAGGCACGTAGAGCTCATCTGACATGTTTGGAGATGTTACCTTTTCTAGGGCATCTTCCAGCATTAGAAGAAGCAATAACTTAATTTTATTCTAAAAATTAAAATCCTCAATCTTCCATTTTCCTTTGCTCTTTATATTCCTAGCCAGGATCTATCAGACATAATTCTGAAGAACCTTATTCCACAGGAGCTAGTATTTCTGTACTACAGGAATTGTACATTTTTTGGGATTAAAAAATGGAGAGGTTTTTCTTTAACTGAAAAATAAATATGTCAAGTAAGAGTTGTATAGATTTTTCCAAACTTTTCAGTGTTTATGTTCTTGCTTGATGTTTATGCAGAAATGCATAATTATTTATATCTATGAAGAAGTTTTATAATTTTCACAAACCCCTGGAAATGAAGTAATATGGAGACAGGACAGTGAAAGGAAGCTTCTATTCATTATTGGTATTTCATATTTAGACTCATGAACATACCTGATAGATTCAAAAATAGTCCTTCAGTTATACTTACAGAAAGATATATTCATTCCATATTCTTTGCGACATCATCAAAGCACATCTGGGTTTGCTCTTGTTCTTTAAGCCACATTTCTTCCTATTTTACTTCATTATTACAGCCATCCTTAAGCTAATACAGAACTTCTCATTTTGGTATAAGGATGGGTTGATGATCCTAGAAGATGTCTTAGTCACTGTGAGAACCCTGCATAATACTAATACTTCTTCACACAAGCGGTGTGGTTTTTGCTAGCATGGAGTTTCATAGTACATTAATTCTTCTTTAATACATTCATTCTTAGAAAGCATATTTCTCATTTCTCTTATATTTCAGGCAGTTGTAATAGCTGTAGGAAGGAATATAAAAGAAGGACTGTGACATTGATTGCAGAAAAAATGTGCTAAGTGTATTAGATTTAAGATATTTATGGTTGAGAAGATGCCCAAAAGACCAGGTATAAATACTTAACTACTTTTAACACCAGTATTGAAATGTAATAACTGGCATCTGCATTATACTGATCCAAAGCAATAACAGTATCTGGAATAGAATTTTATAGAGCTTTGTGTGGAAAATGCTACTGTCAGTTCCATTAGTTAGACCAGTCCAGGAAATGAACTCCATAGGAAGGCTAAAACTACTTTACTGAGATTGATTTTATCAACAGAATCTTGCAAATCTAATTATAGCATATCTCCTCCCCCTTTTATTCTCCAATGAATCAGGGAGGAGTCTGCCTGAGTCATTTATGAATATTATCTCATATCTCTGGACTTCAGTTCCTTTGTCTTCGCAACAGGTTCTTGTGTATTTCTGCCAAGATCCTCTTCCTCACTTTCTACAGCCAATCTGTTATCTGCTGTTAGTTTTTGTTTTAAAAATGTATTATGCATATCTTCAGGATTTAAAGTGTACAATTGGTAACTATCTAAGCCACATGTCTCTTTAGCATCTTCATAAAACTATGGTTCAAGAATTCCTTATTGGGTAATTAAGGTGGGAGTTATGCAATATGAGCTACATGGAATTTATTTCAGATGAGTTCAGGGAGGAAAGAGAAATTATGTTTCACAGGCAAATGATAACAATGGAGGCAGGCTATATTCCAAGAGTGTTTAATGGTATTTTGAGGATATTTTATTAGAATTTTAGTTTATTATTGTTAGCTTTCTTGAAATATGATGTGCTGTGTGTGTGTGTGTGTAGAATGTTTTAGAAATACAGATTGACTTGGAAATCAGTTGTATTATTTCTGGAGCAGAAAGACCTCCAAAACAACCTTTTCCTTTTAAATGCTGTTTGGAGTAGAAGTAAGAGCTGCCAGGGTGAAGATACATTTTTTTTCTTATTCCTCCCACCTGTATCTTCTGGGCTAGCATACAATATAAGGTCCATTAAAAATGGAACTCTTTATGGGCTATTCCACCAACAACATAGGATTAAAAAACTTTCCACTACATGGTAAATGGCTTTAATTTCAATACCCAATTGGGCAGGTGAAATGTTTTTTATTTTTCTTCAGATGGTTATTGCGGAGAAACAAGACATTTTTAATTGCATGTGAAGATAATAAAGCTTTTTATTTCTATATAATATGATATTATGTAACATCAGTGTTCTAAAAATACTTGCAAGAATTTCAAAAAAAATAATTACAAGATAAAAGTTAGAATTTTGTTTGGGATATAATAATTTAATCACACAAGTGGTTGAAATGTTTCTTCCTAATGAAATATTTCAGTTCAAGTATTTCTGATTACTGGAGGGAAACTCAAATATGGATGCAGCATGAAAAATACTCTGTGCTTCTCTTAGCTTTCTAATTGTTGATAATAATTACAGTCATTGGTAATCAGTAAGATGTTGATAAGCATGTAAAATCTGATTCCATTAACTTACGGACACAAGCCTTCATGAAACTTTTCTGAATAATTTTTTTTCTGTTTCTGTAATGGGGTACTAACTGCTTTAAGTACTGCTTTAAGGATGCCACATGCTTCTATCTCCCCACTTTATTTAATGAAAAGTACTTTTCTTGCAACAAATGCATTTCAGTCTGAAGACTGTATTTAGTTCACAGTTGGCGTTTTCTCCCTGCCTTGCACCATCTTATGATAAACATGTTACCTAATTTTTGTTATGAATAGCAGTACAATTTTACATTCCACAACAACATCACAAACTTAGAACAAATGTTTTCAGTACTGATGGATGTGTTGTCACAAATGGCTTGTTGACTGGAAGCATTATTCACAAATGAACAAAGAGGAAATAGTGGTCAACCACGAAGTGATTATGTGACTTTTTCTTGATCTCCCTTCTCCAGTAAGGATGAACACTCATTGAAGTTTTTGTTTAACTTTTGACCCACTTACAGGGCATCATGAATTACAGTGACCTAATTCTGACTTGTCTGTTTTGATAGTAATGTAGGCTATAAGAATAATAACCTTTGGGGACTTAGAGAAAGCAGCACTATTTCCTGCCCTTAAACAAGGCATGTTAGGACAGGTGGTTTATAGTCCACAGACTAGAGTTTTTTCAAAGGCAGGGAAACAGTATTATGAAGCAATGACTGAACGTTAAATGTACGCTTGGGTGGGGGGACGGTATCAAATCTCAGTATGAATCTGTTCAAAATATTTTGTAACATTATGTAATATTTTGCTGCAACAGAAATGCCTAACTTTATTCTCAGGAATTCAGCTAGTGCGGCTATATTACATATGTGAACAGTCACTGTGGGCATCTGTTAAATTGTGTTAAATAGACAACTTGCCACCCAGAAGCTGTTCTGATTGTGCTGCTAGATTTTCATGGTCCAATTGCTAAGAACTATTTTAAAATGGGATACTCACAACATTCTAGATTAAATCTGGAAACAAAGTATTTAAAACTAAATGAAATTCCCATTAAAACAAAAACAAAAGGATTGACAATTTGTCTCCATTTATGAGTGGGATGTAACTTTGCCTCCTTTAGCCTGCTACCAGCTGCAAACAAATAAGTGAAACTTAAAATATGGTTTCCCATCTACAGCAATTGGTAAAAGGGAAGTCCCACAGAACTTTTCAAAACAATGTATGGTTTCATCTTGCAAATAGGAAAATAGCATTTTCTCTTGCTTTCATTTCTCTCTCTGTGTATGTGCATGTGTGTGTGTGTGTGTACATAGCTCTTTGAATAACATTCATTCACTAGCTTCAGTATTGATTTGGGGAGGTAGAATTAAAAAAAATCTGCTAATTGAATTACCTGTGAAATATGAAGTGGAATTTTGTATTTCTGTCTACAGCTTTCCATCTGTAGTGTTAACATCAACTTTTGTTCAGGTTTGCTTCACTGTGTGCATTCAGACTTGGATAAAAGTTTAGGATTTGACAGAACAATCTACCTCAAAACTGAGATCATGTTTTTTTCTGAACACTAAGCAGCTATTTTTGTTCTGCTGATTATGAGCACTTAAATGCTCTAGCTTTACTGCACCTGCAGAAAATACATGTATTTTCTTCACATCCGCATGTCTGGAGAATAAAGAGTATGTATGAGTGTATACATTATCTCTGTAAGTATTTTTTTTCCAAACTCTCTCTTATCCCTCTACTTGACATCTCCTGTAACCCATCTTCTGTAGGTTCCAGTGTCTGTGGCTATGATGTCTCCTCAGATGATCACACCCCAGCAGATGCAACAGATTCTGTCTCCACCTCAGCTTCAAGCTCTGCTGCAGCAGCAACAAGCAATTATGCTGCAACAGGTAAAGCAGCTCGCATTTGAGCAAACCTTTTCATGTCACAGAAGCTGACATCTATGTCTGAATTTCTCTCCTGCAAATGCAATGTGTTTCCTGTTTGTAAATTTGCAGGATGGGCTGAAAACTACTGACTTGCCCAAAATTGCTGGATGTAATAGTTGAATAAAAACATGAATCCTTGACAGTAAAGTCCAACTCTTTTCAGTTTAAAAGAAAATTCTTTGTCATGGATATGGGGATTGAAATCTTTTGGATAATTCAAATATTGGAGGTATATAAAAAGATAGGCTGTATATGAGGGAAGATTGAAGATTTTATTTGCAGGTGAAGATTTTGATTGTGAATTTGATTTTTGTTTTATTTACCGAGATATATTACAGAGGACATAGGGATTCCAATGCCCCAGTTTTGTTTCGTTTTACTTTATTTTTCTCTTAATGATGATCTGGAATTGGTCTAGTTAGAAAGTCTAACTTTGTTAAATATGGTTGGAAGTTAAGTCTTGTAAAATGGGTTCAGGTTTTAGTTATACTATAGTTGGATAAAATGTGGCTGAATTATTTTTTCCACATAACAAAATTACCGTGTTCTTAACCCTGGGTAATACAGTCCCCTTCCCATAGCACAGTGGTTCTCAACCTTTTTAATGCCACGACTACCAACCGGTCGTAAGTCGAGGACTACTCAACCGGTCGTAAGTCGAGGACTACTCAACTGGTGCAGCACCATTTGCAGAATGGGACTTTTGGCGGGCTCAGCAGGGCAGAGACAGCCTGGACAATTCCTATTGGCTTTTGAAAGCCAATAGAATTAGACTCTATTCAAGAGAGTCTATTCTATTGGCTTTCAAAAGCCAATAGAATAAAAGGGAGTAGCACAGCTAAGGAAAAGGGGGAAAAAATGGCGGACTGCATTGTTTGGCGACCCCCGTGAAATGGTCGTTCGACCCCAAATGGGGTCCCGACCCACAGGTTGAGAACCACTGCCATAGCAGGTTCCTCTCTAAATCAGCACTAATTTTAGGATAATGGGTAGTTATAAAAAGTTCTTTATTTCTTGTCTTCCTGCATTGATTGTTCCCATGAAATTTTAAGAGTCAGAGAATAGCTGGATAAAAACTGAAAATGAAAAGCATAATAGAGATAAGTCCTCGACTTACAACAGTTTGTTTAATGACTGTTCAAAATTACAATGGCACTGAAAAAAGTGACTTATGGCCATTTTTCACACTTAAAATGACCATTGCAGCATCCCTGTGGTCACGTGATCAAAATTCAGATGCTTGGCAACTGCCTCATATTTATGACCGTTGCAGTGTCCCAGGTCATGTGATCCCCTTTTGCTACCTTCTGACAAGGAAAGCCAATTCACTTAACAAACCCTCTTACTAACTTAGCAGTTGCAATGATTCACTTAACAACTGTGGCAAGAAAGCTTATAAAATGGGATAAAACTCATTAACAAATGACTCACTTAGCAACAGAAATTTGGGACTCAATTGTGATTGTAAGTTAATGACTACCTGTACATCTTTCAATTAAACATTTGTGCTAAACAAATGAGGACTAAATGAATGCCCTATTTAACAATGCCGACTGTGTATTTTGCATTGAAACCCCATTCTAGACATTCTATTTCAAAGCTTTTTTAATTTTTTCCCATATAATGACAGTCAGCTTAAGAGCTACATATAAAGCAGTTAGATATAATTTTCATTTTGGTTTTGGTGACTGAGCATATTCTGCGCTCTGGAACTTTTCAAGTTCTGGCTTCTTCTGAATTGCAGCAGCACGTTTATCATGTTAGCTTATGGCTCTAAAATATGCTTAATCCTATAAAACTTTACTTTAAAGAGTTCCCTTAGGAAACATTTTCATCCACCTCTATATAGAATTGGGAGTCGGATGGGCGTATATTTTTAAACTAAATACAAGTGAAAATAATTATTAAAATGAGGGAGGAGATTAAAATCCCCAAGAAAACACAACTGTTTGGACAAACATTTACACCAGGGAAAGGAGAGCAAACATAAAAACCACAGCATCCTCCACACCCTTCCTCCTGCCTTAAGTACCTGTTTATTTCAAGCATGCTGATAAGGAGTCAAGGTTAGCCCCAGGGGAAGAACAAAAGGTAAACACTAACCTGGGTGGGGTCCTTCCCTCTCAGAGCCTTTTTGGAGCCAGATAGAGAAACACGTCTGACTGCAAATTAAACAGCCTGGACCGGAATAGCTGGCATTCTCTGTGAGAAGAAAACCAAACATCACACCTCTCACCTCTTGACCCAATGTTCTCAGAATCCCATATAGAGACCTGGTTTTGATTGGCTTTTGGGTAAACAGGAGGCTTTCCAAACCTGTTCAGCAGAGTTAAAGTGAAAGGTTTCTGCTGTCAGTGCTGTCAAACACAAGCTGATAAGGACTCTCCCAGAATCCCTGGGGACATTCCTCAGAAGTCAGCTTTCCCCTGCTTTGCTCCTCCACCCCCATTGAGGAAACCTGTATTGATCTCTTCCCCCCCAAAAAACAAATTACATCTGTAAATCATTTATTTTAATATAATGAAACTAAAACTGACATGCTTAAGAAAAGCTCAGAGCCACTTAACATACACTAAGCAAAGTCCTTTAAATGTCTCGTCACACTGAAGAGCTGAAATTCTTCCATGTGCTAAATATTAAAATTTTGTAGATAAATAATTAAGGAACTAAAACTGAAGTAATTTAAAATTTCACATCCTGAATCTAGAAATAGTCACTAGTTAAAGTTTTAATTTTGATTTGTAAGTTTCTTTCGGAGAAAAAAAGTAGAGCTTGATGGATAAAAATAATTCATTTTAGATTTTTTGAGGTAATATATAGATTAAATAAATTGAATTCTATTCCTAAATAATCTAACCAAAATTGCACCTGAAAGAAGGCATTGTTAACCTGGAAATGGCTCTCTCCAAAATATTAAACCTTGTATTTAGGCAAGATAAGTTCAAAATCACATTGCCAGTCAACCTTGTCAACTTTAAGATGTGTGCATTTTAAGTCACAGAATTCCCCATCCAGCATACCTAATGACATAAAAATAGTTTATATAATTAGTTTCATCCAGTACTTACTAAGTTTGCTAAACAATAATAGGTACACATTTTTACTCTGGCCACTAAAACATATTATTTGAAAACTAAGTGTTTGTGGAAACAGTTTCATGTATTGGTTTATCTGTATAGATTAGGGAGTATCCAAAGCTTCTTTTAATTGAAGCTCACGTGTTGCACAGAACTTTCCAGAAACAAAAATAATAATTTAAAGCAGAAGATTTGGCTTTCTTAAGTCCAAAAAGAAACACTTGTCTGTTTAACTTGTGAGTGGTTGCTAAATTCACATAATTTAGAACCAAGTTTACTAGCTATAGCCCAGGAAAAGCAATAGCTTGTGAACCAGCCAGATTTGAAAATAAATCTTCCTAACAACTTCAGGCACCTGGGTTTCTAGAGACAAGGCCTGGAACATCATATATTATAAAATGTTATAATTCCAGGAACACCTACAGGAAGGAATCAAATGCTAGGACAATACTGCAGATAGATAGATAGATAGATAGATAGATAGATAGATAGATAGATAGATAGATAGATAGATAGATAGATAGATAGATAGATAGAGTTTGTTTTCTGATGCAGATGCTCTTTCCCAAAGAGGAAGGGAGTAGAAATATGGAACCTGTCATTTGCCCCTAAATCCTTTTGACACAATTTTTAATTCTCATTAAAATAGCCAAAGTTTTTTATAAGCAATTACATTCACGTGTATTCATGCTTTCTATCCTTTGTCTCATCCCAGAAAATCGTGTCTTTCTTTTTCATTTAGACTTTAAGCTCCTTTAAGGGAGAGACCAGTTTCTTTTCCAATCAAGCATTGCATATAGTATAAATTATTCTTCATGGTCTTTAATGACTTTTGGGAGTCCTCTGCATGAAGCCCCTTCATTTGCCTGTGTACAAGGCTTCTATAGCTGTTCTGTACTTGAACTGATTAACTTCTGGCCAGTTGCAATGCAGGAGTAAACCTTGCAAAAAAGTGTTTTCAGCATTAACTTCTAAGCTGTGTAGCAGGTTTCTCACCAGCAAAACTCTTACCTTGTCTCAGTTTTTTGGCTGTTCCTGCCATCTTACTGAAGTTACCATGACACCCTACCAACGTTTCAAAGTGGACTTTAATGAACACATTTTTTTTTATTTCACTATAAAGCACACCGGGTGAGACAAGAACAAAATGCAAAGCAGTTGGAAAAAGCCCTGGTTGACTCTGGTTATCATAGTACTAAAAACACTTGCAAGATGGAACAAAAATGTTTCTTAGAATTAGGAGATTCCAGTGGATGTGTACCCCCAGGTACTAAACCAAAGCTCAAAGGAACAAAATGTTTGAGAATCTCTCACTTTTACTGCTTGTTTTACTATAGCTACCATGCTTTGCTTTCAGTTTGTTATTTCTATATAGTAGGTCAGTCTCTGAATTTATTAGATTCCTATTGTACTCAGTGGTTTATTATGTGTTTATCTCAAATATGATTAACTATTTATATTATGGGTTTTAAAGTGTTATAACTTGTATAGGCTTGTAACTTAAAGACAAGTATAAATGTTTTAATAAGCAAAATAAATAACATTTGCTCTAATATGAATATAAACATTATTTAGGCAAGAATGATTTTTCTTCTGTGACTTCATCCTGTTAAAGCAATATTTGTCCATAAATAGTGCCAGATAAGCCCTGGGAACTAATTATATCTAACAAGCTTTGGTTTGGGTCAAGAGCCCCTCCAAAAGTTGCTATTAAAAATGTTATCCTTTTAATTCATCAAAAAAGGAAAATTAAATAAAATGACTCATTGAATAAGTTAATTAAATTAAAACAAATAAACTTTCTGTCTTGGACCCTCCATTTTTTTCCCCTCCTGATTTTTCTAATTTGGTGTGCAGCAATTTGAATGCCATGTGTCACATGTGATAGTCTCTCCAAAGTTCAATATCTCTCAAATATGGCATAATGCAGCTCAGTGCATTCCAAGCTAATTCATTTTTGTCCAAAAAGACATAAAAATACACAAGATTTTATATCCTCTCCTGCTCTCTTTCCTCTTCTGTCTGTTTCTCTTGTCCCAAATAATAATTGGCAAGAGAAGGTTACAGCCTAGGTCTCATGTAATTCAATAAAATGTTAGTGAGTAATATTCTTTCATTTCTGGGAATGCTTCTTTTGATTGACTCTTCTAGTCTGTTGACATGTATTCTCTACACCCTCTAGAAAAATATTGCAGTTGGCTATCTGCTTTCATTTCAAGTTCGGTATTTTGGGGAAAATAATTTCCATATCCTCTTTCTCAAAGAAAGATATGTTCATGGGAAGATCAGGTTTCATGAACTTATCAAGGTTTTAGTCTCTGGGTTTGTCTGTAAAATAGAAAAGTTAATGACCTCTTTTCAATAATTATTGTGACTGTACAATGATTATATATTAAAAAAGCAAAAGAAATAAATGCATTTGTTTCATTGACTTCTTTTATGATTCTATTCATTATGAACCTATAGACCAGTGGTTCTCAACCTGTGGGTCGGGACCCCATTTGGGGTCGAACGACCATTTCACGGGGGTCGCCAAACAAGGCTGTCTGCCATTTTTCCCCCTTTTCTTTCGCCACGCCCCTGGCACCCCATGATGTATAAGTGGTTGGGGGTCACCACAACATGGGGACCTGTATTATGGGGCCGCGGCATTAGAAAGGTTGAGAACCACTGCTATAGACAATCATATAATAACTTTATGGTGTGCTCGCATCTTACTAGATAGTTGCAGAACATTCAAGTACTGCAACACCAACTTTTATCATCATTTTTTCTATTTTTCTTCTATTTTTTCTTCAGCTTCAGGAATACTACAAGAAGCAGCAGGAACAGCTTCACCTACAGCTTCTGACTCAGCAACAAGCTGGAAAGCAGCAAGCCAAAGAGGTGAGATTTGATTTGAGTTTAGGAAGACACTATACTTTGCAAAAAAAATAAATAAAATCTGCAGAAAAGAAAAAACCATTGAGGGGAAAAGAGAGTTGCTAGAAAAATTGCATTGCATTGCTCTGCATACAAAATAACAGGTGTGCTTCTTTTCCATCTGAGAGAATAAACTGGAATGACTCTGGTTATTTAATATAGAATTAGTTTCAAAAAATTTCTCAAGTCACTGCTTCTGTGTTTTGTAATAAGCAAGTTTAACTGTGACTAATTCACAGGTAAATGTTTTGCAGGGATTCTCAATAATTGGCCCTTGTTTAAGAGATTTATCTGCCTCGAGTATATGATTTTTGCTGTAGAATTCTAAAATAAAAGATACTTGTACCATTCCTGCTATTGGCACTTTTGCCAGAAGCATCATCATAATGCAGAACGTTGTGAAAGTATTTCTAGCATTTTCTGGTATTACTTGAGAAACATCAATTGAGATTCTATGATAATTTGGAAAATCTATTATATTCATTTTAATAGTCCGAGGAAAACTTAAAGGGTTACCTGTTAGATCCAGGAAACAATACATTTTCAGAATGCATATATCCATGTTATGCAGCTATTGTTTATGATTAACTTGACAATATGTATTTTTATGTTAGTTCCAAGAACAAAAAATGGCATACAGAGCAAAATCTCCTTCCATTTTCGTCAGCATGGTTAAACAAGATTGAAAGAGAATGTCTGGCCCAAACTCAATCTGTGAGTTTGTGTCTCCCTGAACCCGGATTTCCCAGTTCCTTTACAAAACTGTAATCATTACAACACATTGACTGAAAATTTTAGTATATCCCACAAATTTTCTGTAAGGCAGTACTTCCCAATCTATGACTGGAGTGTCTATTGATGGTAGAGGTTACTTCAAGTGATCCCTAATATAAGTATCAAAATGGCCCAAATCCCACATTGTTGTATTTTCTGAAATTTGTTGTCCTGCTCTAAAACTTTGTGAAATTTGATTTTGACCAGCTATATTTTTTAAAAAATTGTAATTTCCTATAAAATCACATTTGCTGACAGGACATCTGTGGCATGATACCTGCAAATGAATGCTTTAACCTTCAGCTTATGTGGTTTCTTGGATGAGAAACGAAACATCTTCAAGTCCAGTTGCCTCCTGAAAACACCTTTGGGATAACTTTAGAAATATTGCTTTGCTTGAATTAAAAGGGAAAATGTTGGCAGGTATAATAAATTCAGTTCTATCATCACATACTGTGCCTAGGCTAGTCCTTACATTGTTGCTTTGTACTGATGCATTTGAAATGCTAAGGTAGATTCAGGAAATCTTGCAATCCTAATTTCTTCTGTAACTCCAGAAAGCTTGAGAGTGACAGTTGTCCCAGTATACCACCTGATACAGCATGGTTAATCTAGGAGGGGAGCAGCACATGAGGATTGGCCAGCAAGTAACCTGGGCATCAAATTAATGAAGTGCTCCCGTCAGTCCACAGTGTCACGCTGAAACTCCTCTTGATGTACTCATAAATCAAAGTGACTGGCGCCCTGTTACCCCAGTAACTGCACCCACTCAGCTGCATCTAATGTAAACAGAGCAGACAAAATGCTTTAAGAAATTCAAACCCCATCACCAGGGAAAGATCAGGGATCAAAGAACATAGAGTTGGTGGAACAAGAAGTGAAGGTAAAAATCTGGGGTTTAATCCAAATAAAAGCTTTCCATAGATACCTGCAAGTATTAGAGGAAGAAAGGATTGTGAACAGTACGATTAGTACACCAGTAATTGCTAGTGACTGGCAGAGGTAGCTTCAGTAATTATTTTCTTGTGTTTAAGATTTTTATCAGTGTGCAGATAAGCTTCATTGGTTCTATTAAAAGTACATGGAGGATGATCTCCAGAAGTGAAAATGTTCAGAGAAGCCCACAAATTCTGGTAAATGGTAGCTTCTAAGACAATGCCAGATTAGCTGTTATTATTTCAGTTCTAGTGATGAGGGAGAAATCTTGGAGTAATATGGATTAATAAAAATAATATAGAAGGAAAAAGTGAAATGAATCTAATGGACTGCATTTTTATGTATACAACACTCTGCTGGGCTTAATAAAATTACCAATATTTCAAAGTTCTAATACATTTCCAACAATTCCTCAGAAAAAAAGGAGTTTAATTATGCGACTTACTTTGTCTTGCATTCAGTTTTTTTATCCAAAGGATTTAACATTAGGACTGATGTTTGTGGGTTTTTTTTTTTGTTTTGTTTTTTTGGGTACACTGTGGGTTACTTTGGCTGTACAACCTTTGGCAACTGAGAAGAATTTGGGTTCAATAAAATTAGCTATTCAAAAAAAATTCATCCACCATAAGTAATCCAATATTCTACCTATATGTTCATGACAGTGTCTCATTTAGAAGGAAAGTCACATTTGGAATACTGTACTTTGGAAGAAAGTAAATATTAAAGATACTTCCAAATCAAGCTTTTATTATATAACCATCTGCTTCACTCATGAAGCTTTATATCAACAGAGGGAATCCAAGCATCACAATTATCTATTTATGATCTCCCCATATTTTTCCATTGCTTTTATTTTTCTTAATATTTAATATATAAAACCCCATGTATAATCCATGTAGAAGGATAAATCAGAATAGCTTGGCCTCTTGATTGATGAGTGCTGAAAGCTATTCTTCTATTCTTCTGGAAACTTCTGAAAAAGGAGGCTTCTTCTCAAACATAAAGAAGATATATAAGAAAAGCATAATAAAAAAATAAAAATTAATCATTCATATGCACTTTCCCATTATCCTTAAGTTAATTCAAGGCCTAAAAACCAAGGTACGATTGGTCCTTGACTTATAACAGTTCATTTAGTGACCATTCAAACTTACAACAGCACTGAAAAAAGTGACTTATTACCATTTTTCACACTTACAACAGCATCCCCGTGGTCACATGATCAAAATTCAGACACTTGGCAACTGATTCATATTTATGACGGTGGCAGTGTCTCGATGTCATGTGATCATCTTTTATGACCTTCTGACAAGCAAAGTCAATGGGGAAGCCCGATTCACTTAATAACCATGTTACTAACTTAACAACTGCAATGATTCACTTAACAACTGTAACAAGAAAGGTCATAAAATGGGGCAAAACTCATTTAACAAATGTCTCACTTAGCAATGGAAATTTTGGGCTGAATTGTGGTCGTTGGTGAGGACTACTTGTACTTATAACTTATAACCATCCAATTAATAGGCTTGGATTTCACTGAATTTGTAGGGAGAGGAAAGGCTATAATTATGGGGAATCACCAAGAATGTCAGTCTTTGTAATAATCTTGTTTCTTGAACTTGAACCATGCATACTATAAACACAAGATCATCTTTGGCTGATAGCAGGATGTGTTCTCATAAAAAATGATACTCCATAAATCTTGTAAGCATTCTGAGGAAAAAAGAAACATAAAGAAGAGACGGGCAAATGTTCTGGCCATGCTCATACTCTTGTTCTATTTGTGTTGATTGGAAAGACCTGCAGAGAAACTGGAATTCTATTCAGTTTATGTTGTTTCAATTTTTTCTGCATTTGAGAACTAAAGCAAATGAAACAAATTGTTGACAGTGTAATTACAAAGGAGAAGGCTGGAGTTCCCTTCTTTTTCTCCAGACAACTTGGTGCATCTGTCTCACCCATAAAAATGGCTGAACATGAATGCCTAACCTTTTCTTGGTGTACAATAGTTGTTAAGATATTCGCCTAGAAATCAGGATACTGTGAGTTCTAGTCCCGCTGTAATAATGAAAATCAGTTGGACCAATCACTTTCTCTCAGCCCAACTGACCTTACAGATTATTGTGGGGAAAATAGGAGGAAGAAGGAATATTAGTGAGTTTGCTGCCTTGAGTTATTCATTTAAAAAATAATAAAGAAGGGTTTTTTTTTAAAGACCTTTTTTTTTTTTTTGCTTTTCTGCCTGCAGTACAATCCCTGCAGGGGTTGCCCCTTCCCATTTTGATGCCTCTTTGCTAAAAGTCCTGATGATTCATTGGAAAGGAATTCAGTCCCAATCAAAAGTGAATGAACTTATCTTGATATAGGCACAATCCGTAATGATGTAGTCTATTTTGCTCTTCAGAAAACTACTAGTCAAATGCCTTCAAAGATGAAATGATAGACAAATTTAATGTTTGGGGGTTTGAGTATGTCATGTGTTAATACTACCAGTTCTTGATTCTCTGAGGTCCTCTTCAGACTGAAGCTGCTGCAGGTCTCTTTGCCCTCTTAAGCACTCTTAGCTGCTCTGCTCATAAGAGTATACATAATCCTTGAGAAGAGGATAGGAAGAATTGTGACAGAGAAGAGCTACATTATTGGAGGGTGTGTGATTTTGTTTTTGTCAAAAAATTATTGTCTATTATGTTGCTTATAAAATAAATATTAAAAACCTTTCTGATGGTGCTTATAAAATAAGCCCTAATAATTTAGACTTGTGAATACTTTGGCAGTGGCTATTACTACAGACAATATGGACAATATGGACATTTTGATTAAAAAGCCAGTTGTAAAATGGCTACAAGACAAAAATACATATATAGTCTATAGATTATACTCAAAGATTGTCTGAATGATTTATAATATTTTGCATGCTACCCACCCCTTTAATGGCTCAAGACAATTTACAGAATTCATATATTCAGTGCCAGTGGCAAGTGTACTTTGCTTTCTGTATATTTTCACCTGAGAGCAATACTCCAATGTATATGTTGTAACAACTTTAAAGCAATTAAATAACAGTGGTAGATAAAAATGGGAAAATTGTTTGGAATCTTTAATTAAAACTTCATTATCCCTGCATCATTAATATCTAAAACATCTATATACTTGATTTCTTCCATGTGTAACTCAAGGTGGCACAATTAGAATTTTCATGTATGAGAGTGACCTAGTGCATCAAATCAATTAATATTGAAAGTTTCTTTTTATTTTGAAACCTCCAGATCTCATGTATTCTCATTTCCAGAATATGTGCGGCCCAGGCAGTGCTGAGTTTCTGCATAAAAAGGAGCTTTCTTGCCTTTAAAAGCCTCCTGGGAGACTGCTTGTATGCACAAGCTTTTGGCATTCATAGGAGTTTAATCTATATATATATTTAAAGTAGATAGGTTCTGCTGACATATAAGATGTTTTGTCTCTTATAACAATTCAAATAACAGATTTAATGGAAAGGCACATTTGAGAGAGAGGGGGGGAGAGAGAGAGAGAGAGTGTTTTCAGTGCTCCGCCAAGCAAGCTCGCTGTCTTCTCTTCCGCCACCCTCCCTTCGTTTCTGCTGCTCTGATAGATCAAAGGCTTTCAGTCTTGGTTATATGCTGGGTAGCCACAGAGGATAAGAGATCAGAACTGTGAGCTGTGCTAGCTGTAGCTAAAGCTGAGATCGGGCTGCTTATGCGAGACCTGAAGAAAAAACTAGAAGGCCCGTGCTCTGGGAATGAAAATGTGTTTTAATTTCTTTCTTTTGTTTTCCAGCAGCCATTAGGGAATAAGCAGCTGGCATTCCAACAACAGCTCCTGCAGATGCAGCAGCTGCAGCAGCAGCACCTGTTAAACCTCCAGCGACAAGGGTTGGTCAGTTTACAGCCGGGACAAGGCACCGTTCCTCTGCAGACCCTGCCACAAGGTAACGCACACAAGCCTCCTTGTTCTTTAATTGCTGTAGGGAGAACCCACCCAGCCATTGCAGCAATTAGCTTTGTCAGTTGCTTTTTGGTTAATTTTAAAAGCTGCCTGTTGTCCATGGACTTGAGGCCTGATGCTTGTTACACTGCTACGTTTTGCTGTCAAACAGCCATTGATAAAGCATTATTAGATTGCAATGCAACGGGCATCTTATTCAGGAACAGTTCAAGGACTACCTGAAGATGTGCTGCTGATAGTAATGGGAGAGAACTGGGCCTAGTGCACCTTTCATGAAAAACAGTCACTGGCAAGTAGTAGCAGCTCCTCCTGGGTGCTGCTGCTGCTACTTTTTTGATAGATTAAGAGAATGTGTATGTAATAATCTTGCTTTATTCCATAGACCTTATGCCTTCTGTATCAGAAACACTGTTTTTAAGGGAAGCAGCAGAATCTGGGCTGAAATCATGCTAAATATCCGAGTTCCGAGCATAATAATATGTAAGGGGAGGGATGGACAAGATGAGAGTGAAAGCACTGTTTGGGTTTTCTAATAAATGGCTATTGTTAGCAGCATGTACCTGAAAGCTATTTTCTTATGCCTTTCTCCAACCCTTGTACATGCAACACCTATCAACTTCATCACATTCATGATTAAGGAAATTTGAGATGGAAAGTCAATAAAAGTCCATGTAAACCATTGAAATTACAGTGTGACATTCTGGAGCCATCCTAATTATAGGAAGGAAAGAAGTAGCAACAGCATGTTGATATGGAATGAACAATTAATTCCTAATTTATCCCCTAAAAGATAATATATCTACTAAGGGCACAAGTTTCATCTATGAACCTGAAAGATATTTAGATGCTGCTGGACAATAGACACCTGAACCAATGTTCAGTGGCCATGTTTCTTCTATTAAAGTTATAGGGCTAGCTACCAATAGATTTCATAAATAGATTGATTCAGTTTGGACAGCAACCTCTATAATCCAAAACCACCCAAATGAACTGCAACAAGTCTTAAGATGTTTAACAATCCTGATCCATTCTCCTTCTGTGGCATGTTCATGTGAAGTTTGCAATCAGCTTTCTATTATGATTTCATTTAATGTAGTTTAGGCATTTCTCTGAATCCTAAATTGTTTGATAAATTGATGCAACAAGATAGATAACAGTTTGTGTGTTTGATGAAATGACAAAAAAGAAATCAATCTAACTTGAAAAAAAAGTTTCTGAATACTTCTTTTCATCCATATGAATAAATCAGAGAAGGAAGCATGCAACCTCCCCACTCAACTGCATTATCTCCTTTTCATCACTTTACACTATGCTTTATTGTGACCCCTTATTTATTCTATCAAGGTATCACCTTATAGCATAAAGAGATTTTCTCAGATATCTATAAAGCTAGTATCCCTGTAAATATTCCCAATTTATCCTAGTAGGTGAGAAACAAAATGCCTTTATTATTTTTTGTAGAAGTAAAGTTTTTATTGGTTTTTTTCCCCTATACATTCAGTAATAATTTTTCAACAAACGTGCTGTCTGAGTTTACATTCGCTAATACATATTTAATTCCTAATCCTTTATTATTTCCTCTAGTCATTGATAAAATAAGTCCCAAGTTTGATAATATTCTGTTGCTTCTTTTTCTTTCAGTTTCATAGTCAGTCTATCCATCTCTGCGCATTCTAGTATTTTTTTAATTATTTCTTCATCTGATGGTACTTCATTTTTCCACTGTTGTGCAAATATAATTCTTGCTGTTGTGACATGCAAAATCAAATACAAGCTTTAAAAACATGTCAGATAGATATTGGAAATGTAAACATTTTTGCTAGTCTTGCTGGTGGCAAGTGCCATCTATAGAACATTTTATATAAATTTTCTTTGTAGGAAGTTGACATTGTCAGTTTGTAATTTCTTTCCCATAAATTTTGCCATTTTTCTAATTCTGTATTATATCCAAAATTTTTCGCCCATCTTATCATTGTTTCTTTAACTTGTTCGCTTTCCATTTTCAAAGTTAATAGAAAATTATATATTTTCTTAATTAAGTTTCTCATCAGAAGTTAACAATGTCTTATCAAACGGAGTTTGTTCTTTATAAAATCCATACAGTTTAATATCTTTATCATATCTAGCTTGCATTTGTAAATGTGCCCACCATGATAGATTGTTACCCTGATTTTCCATTTCTTGTTTAGATTTTAAATTCCCTTCAAGTTTAGAATATTGCTATATGTCCAGATTTTTTCAAGGTTCACTAAATTTGGGTGTACAAATGCTTCCATTGTTGACAACCACCCTGGAGTTTTCAAATATATTTTACATTTTATTTTTTCCCATGTTGTTAATAATGCATTTCTTATATAATGATTTTGGAAATATTTATGGACTTTATTTTTCCCGTACCATAAAAAAGCATGCCACCCCAATTGTAAATCATGCCTCTCCAGATATAACACCTTTTATTTCTAAGAGTTATCCATTCTTTTACCCATGTTAATACAGATGCTTGATAATATAAAACCCACTCTGGTAGACCAAGCCTCCATTTTCCTTGGCATCTTGTAACATTTTCATCTTAATTCTAGCTTTCTTTCCTTGCCAAATAAATTTCAAGATTAGTAAATTTAAGTCTTCAAAAAAATTTTCTCAAGTCTTATAGGTATTGTTTGAAATAAGAATAAGATTTTCGGTAGTATGTTCATTTTCACTGTAGAAATTCTTCCTAATATTGACAATTGCAAGCTTTTCCATTTTTCCAAATCCAGTCTTATTTGATTCAATAGTTTTGTATAATTATCTTCTGTTATCGTTGAGCATCTTGCTGTTAAATATATTCCCAGATATTTGACCTTTTTGATTATCTGCAGTTCTGTTTTTTCTGACATTTTTTTTGTTTATCTATTAGGTTTTTAACTATTACTTTAGTTTTTTCTCTATTTATTTTCAGTCCTGCCATTTCTCCGTATTGTTCTATCTTTCCCAATAGTTTAGGAATCATCTCCAAAGGTTTTTCTAAAATAAATACCAAATCATCAGCAAATGCTTGTAATTTATGTTTCACTTTTTATTTCTAGTCCTTTAATTTCTATATCTTGTCTAATATTTCTATTTAAAACTTCCAGAGTGAAAATAAATAACAATGGAGATAATGGACATTCTTGCCTTGTGCCTTTTCTTATCTCAAAATTCTCAGTATAGTCTCCATTCACAATCAGTTTCACTGTTTGTTTATTGTATATTGTTTTTATCATGTTTATAAAGTTCTGTCCAAAGTCCATTATTTGTAATTGCTGAATCATAAATTGCCAGGAAACATTATCAAATGCCTTTTGGGCATCTAGAAATATTAGTGCCAGTTGTTTCCCTGGATGTAATTCATAATATTCTAATACATCCATTATCACTCTTAAATTATTTTTAATTTGTCTCTTTGGCAAAAAACCATTTTGGTCTGAATGTATAAATTCAGTTAAGAATCTTTTCAGTCTCTCTGCCATTATTTTTTTTATTTTTTTTTACAACAAGTTTTATTGTTTTTTCTTTTTACAAACAAGTGCTTAGGAAACAACGTGATGACAGGTTAATCAATTATCCAAGAGCAAAATCATACATATGTAATTCAAATTAGATCATTAAAAACTCCCTCTCTATTCCCTCAAATAATATATTCAAATTAATGTATTTCAATACAGTTAAGTCAATCAATCATCAATAACATTTCATCTATATGAATCCAAATCCTGTATTAAGCTTTACTATTTTCAATGACCATATTCTGTTTCGCTACAATAGAAATGTTATTAACACTTCAGGTGTCTCTCCATTTCCTTTTTCCTTAACATAGTCAGTAATCATTTATTAATATCATTTCTTCTTTTTTCAAAAATCCCTCTTATTCTTCTTTCATTACCAAATAACTATCCTTTCTAACAACAAAAATATTATTCAAAAAATACATTTCTACTCTATTTTTAAATCTATAATCTATCAATCAATCAATATCTATATCAAACTCCTTTAACCCCCACCCAAAATTGCTATATCCACAAACAAACATCTTCTTACTAAGTTCAAATATTTAGTTAATCTTTATTCAATCTAATGTCTTATTCAGCCATCTTAAACCATGAAACAATCCGTATCTAGAAAGCCTTTTAAACCTGTTATGTAGAGGTTTGGATCATACTCTTAAATCTTATTCTAGCTTTCTTTTTATGCCAAGGAGGTTTCCATAACAGAGCCTCAATATCAACAAATAAGTCTCTCTTTGTGCCTTGTAGTATCGTTTGGGTCAAGAAAGAGCATCTCCTCCTCTGTTTTGGAGACCTGACTCCTTTGTAGATAATCCCTTGTTGTTTTAGAGATTCAAATTTCAACATTTGGATCTGTTGAATAGTACACTCAATTATATCCAATTTTGTAATTAGTAGATGATTATCCAAGTTATCATGGTTCTCAATTAGTTGTATTTGTATATCCATTTCTGTTGGTTTTAAGATTGTAAGTGATTTAATTACAGTCATTTTTTGTTCATCAGAAATCTCATTAGGTTGTCTATAAAATGAAGTAGAATCTTCTTTAATGTTGATTGGTTCCGCTTCTGTTGTTTTTTGGTCTGTAGAATGTTCAGATAAGATCTGGAGGTCAGTTTGTAGGTTCAAAGTAAAATTTCTGGTTTTTGTTTCTATAGTACTCTCTTTTATTTGAAGACATATTTGCTCAGTGGCTTCATAATTTTTTTCCAATATAAGTTTACAGTCAAGTTGTGAATAGGATTTCTCCATTTCGATAGTGATTAGAAACAGTCCTGTTATCTTTTAGTGGAGGCTGTATTCAAAAAACATTTAACCAGTGTCCACCCCCACAAATACAGCTGTTGAATTTCTTTGTCTTTTCCCTTTTATGATGATATGAAGGTCAAGCAGTCTCAACATCGAACAGGGGAAAAAGACAGTTGCAATTTTACCTTGTCCACAAGATGTCCTCAGTAGACTGTGAAATCTCTTCCCAGACACCAAAAATAATGTTAACAAGATCAGAAAAAGAAAAAAAGTATTCTTCACATGTAAACTAAATCCATTAATAAGTTCAATAATAGAAATTTTTTCAAGACCCCAAAGTAGATGTAAAAGTAAAGAATAGTCAATTAAAGTTAATTTTCAGTTCATTTAAGCTTCTTTTCCCACACTCACAAACGCCGCTTTCTTAAAGCAAGGAAATAGTTCCAAAAACGCTTTTTACAGGAAGCAAAAAAAGAAAAGAGGACTAAGAGAGGAAAAAAATCTCACCTGGATCAACCACGCTGGTTCTTACACTTAGATGATTATCAGCAGCAAGTGATCAGCCATTTTACTGGCTGATCTTTCCTCCATCGGCCCTAAGGAGCATTCTTGGACCGCGGAAGGATCTGCCGCCCTTCCATAGTCAACGAGAGCCTCCTCAACAGTAGTCGCCTCTCCAGGACGACTATTCGACCCAATTAAGGAACTACCGGCAGAGTGAAAGCAGCCGGCGAAGAGACCAAGTCTCTTCGTACTGCTGCAGAGGCCGCAATCCGGAACCGGAAGTCAGTCTCTCTGCCATTATTGAAGTAAAAATTTTATAATCCACATTCAGTAACGATAATGGCCTATAATTTTTTATCTGTGTCAAATCTGAGTCTTCTTTTGGTATTAAGGTAATATTTGCTTCTATCCATGTATTTGGGAGTTTAGCCTCCAACAAAAGCTCATTGCAAACATCTTTCAGCGGTTCACTTAGTATATCTTATAAAGCTTTATATAATTCCGCTGGTAGTCCATCTGGCCCCAGTGTTTTCTCATTTTTTGTCTTCTTATGGCCTCTGTTATTTCCATCATTGTTATTTTTTTCTCTAACATAATCTTACAGGTTTCTGAAATTCTTGGAAGGTTATTTTCTTCTAGATATTGGATCATTCTCTCTCTTGGAATTTCTTCTGTGTCATAAAGTTTCTTGTAATATTCTTCAATTACCTTTTTTATTTCTTCGTTTTTAAATTTTAGGCAACTTTTCTCATCTACTAAATTATTTATCATTTTGTTCTCCTTCTGTTTTTTAAGTTTATAAGCTAACCATCTTCCTGGTTTATTTGTATTTTCAAAAAAACTTTGTTTTGCTCTTTTTATTTGCTGTGTCAATTTTTCTGAATCCAACAGATTTAGTTTGTATTTTATTGTTTCCATTTCTCTTTTCAGAATTTTCTTCTGCGGATTCATTTGCAGTTCTGATTCTAATTTTTTAATTTTTTCTTTTAATAGTACATATTGCTGTCTTTTCTGTTTGTTTGTTTTTTGCCATGTATGTTATAGCTATACCTCTAAAGTATGCTTTGGCTATATCCTATACATTTTGCAATGTTGTATCTTCTTTTTTGTTTTCTTTGAAGAAAAACTTCATTTCTTTTTTTGCTAGTTCTATAAATTCTCTTTCTCTTAATATAGATTTTCTTTTTGGTATTCCATCTTGATTTTTTTTTTTTTTGGTATTCCTCTCCATATCACTTTTAAAGGGTTGTGGTTTGCCCATGTACCTGGTTCTATCTCAATTTCCTGCATATTTATCCTCAGTTCAAATGTCATCCAGATCATATCAGGATTTGTGACTGTTTGAATAAAATGTATATTGTAATTTTCCTGGGTTAATTTCCCTCCAATATGTTTAAGTATTGTAAAAGGCTCAGTTGCTGCAATTTAATAACAATGTGGAGAGTTTATATGTAAGGAGTCCTTGGTGCTCTCTGAGCTTTCTTTTTTTCTTGCAAATGTTTCGTTACCCAAACTAGGTAACATCATCAGTGCTAGTATGATGATGTTACCTAGTTTGAGTATTGAAACATTTGCAAGAAGAAAACCAAGCTCAGAGAGCACCAAGGACCCCTCATGTCAGCCCTGAGCTACAAATATTCGCCTTTATTAAGAAAATAATATCTATGTATAAGAGGCTGATATAAATGAATTCCTTTTTGTCACTTAATTGAATTGGGGAGCCAGACCTTCACAGTTGTAGAGTTGTTCTGAAATTCTTATAAATAAATCTCTCTCTCTCTGTCCTCTCTCCTCGTCTTCCCCCTACAACACTTATGAAGCTGTGTGTCCCTCAGACCTTCAGCAGCTGTGGAAAGAGGTTACTGCTACTCAACCTGTAGAAGAAAGCATCAAGCAAGAGGGACTTGACCTCAGCACCAACACCTCGAATTCTACCTCGTTTTCGGCTGCCAAGGTCTCTCCTCCAATTTCCCATCACCCTCTCCCCAATGGACAGAACGCCATGCTCGCACAAAGGAGGGACAGGTGAAGCTAATGGACCTTTATGTGAAAAGAACATAGATTTTATAAAAAAGCAGATTTAATCTCTCTATAGCAGAGGTCCCCAACCAGGATGGAACTGGTCCCTGGTGCCCAAAAGGTTGGGGACCCCTGCCCTATAGAACTTCTATATGTTAAAGTCTGCATGTATAATAGGACAAACCCTAAAATCTATTTTTATCTCCTGCATTCAAATCTAAGGCACTAATGCTATTTGCATTTCAACTTGGTATAGAATCAGCAAATGGGTTTAGAATCAAATTCTGATTTTAACAGTTTAGGGTAGTAACCTATGGCTACAGAGTAGGGCCTCCTGAAGTCAGCTTTGAGATTTTGATTCTATCTCATCAGTTACCAAACAGGCCCTATATCAGTATCTAGAAAGTAATAGTTCTATTCAAAAAAAAAAAAAAATCTGAAGGTGCCTGGATAAGTATGTCTGTAGTTACAGAAACTCATTTTATTTTATTTTTATTTTGAATTAAAATATTTGTTTATTCAATAAAAATGGTATAGGTCCCCAAATATCAGTGTGCAGCATCAGGCCAGCAGAGAAGTTAAACTAATTCATGATAGTGCTATGATTTGAATTTTCTGAACAAAATGGTATATAATCAGAAGCCTTTTTTTCCTTTTGTTCCAACAAATCAGATTTTTAGAAATAAATATAATGCATAGAATGATAGTAGATGGGACAAAAGAAACAAGCTGTCAAGATACAAAGCAAAAACAGTCCAAAAGGAAACAAAAGAAGCCAAAAACTGACAAAACAAGTCGTGATTATTTTGCTTATCTGCAAAGCTTATTCTGTCTTGTTGAGCAAACCATGGTGTAAAAAGTTGTTACTGTGCAATGTATGAATATAGTCATGGTCAAATAAAGAAAGTTCCCCTTAAGGTCACTGAATTCAAAATGTATAATTAATTAGCTACAGCATTGTGGAGGTAATTCTTTCCTTAATAGCTCAAATATGGGCTGTTTTTCAGTTTGCAAGTAATCCTCATTCAGTGACTACAACTGAATCTGGCAGCTCTGTCATTAAGCAAAGTGGTTGCTAGGTGGGCAGTTAAGTCACTGTTAATTACTAATTGATAATTAGTAAAAAGGGAATTAATGCTTGTATTTACATTCAGTGGATAGGAAGGGATTACAAGAAAGTAAGCAGGCACACAATGGGGAATATACCTGCTGGGGCTGGGAGTTGCAAGAATGCTCAGAGCTGCTTGTGCCACTGCATTTCTGTTAATGTGTATTCCCCATTGTTTACTCTCTTCCTGTCCAATCTCTCCACTCTGCAAGGGGGAAACAAAAACAAAGATCAGGACAGGGCAGGCACAGGACAATGCATACTGACTGTAATGGTGATCATGTGACTGAGGAACATTGTGAAGGTCATAAATGTGAGCATTGATCATAAAGTTATTTTTTTCAATACCACTGCAACTGTAAATGGTTGCTAAATGAGGCAGTTAAATGAGGTCTCCTTTATTATACAAGATTGCCCATCCTCCCCACTAATCAACTTGTTTGCTAATGTCAGGGAAATGGTCAGAAGTGAAACTGTTACCGGTGGAGAATTTCCCACACTCCCAGATTTTCTGCACTCTAGCAGACAGCTAGGAATGTAAGGGCTTGAAATTGTTTTTGGGGATAGACTCATGGCAATGAGAGGAAGGTTGGTGGTCAGTAAAGTTGTCAACATCACATAGATTCAAAGTACATTGTGATGATGTTCTACATCAGTGCCTCCAGTCTAGGAGACTAGAGCCATCTGGTAGTCCATTTAAGGTGAATGTGCAAAAGAATGACTATTTCTGTCTTTGGAATTTTTGTGTGTATACATATGGATGTGCCAAACAGATTGCCGTTTTTTGTTTTTGTTTTGCTGGAAAAAAATGGAATTCTTTTGCACTGAACTCTGCACCCTGGTTATATTCCACATCAGGATATATAAGTGCAACTTTATTGTTAAAATCATTGCTTTAAAATTTTTGAGATAATTTGTATGGCCAAACTGGTGGCAGTTTCTGAATGTATGTAATCTGCATGCAGTAAAAAATTGAGCTGGATGACATTTTCTCCAGAAGGGTCACATTTGCCATCCCATCTATAGAATAAATCTAAGATGAACCAAGATGAGCAAGTTCTTTCTCCTAGCATTCATCTGAAGATTTATGTCTGAGCTACTAAACAATAACTTGTCTGCACTTCTGTTTTGATCATGCAGATGAATGACTGCAGATCACAGCTGCTCAACATAAGGAATGCACCTTCTGCCAATTTGGAAAGCATATCAAATTCCTCTAAATTTCCCAAGTAGATATTTCTTTTGTTGACCAGTACAAATGCATTATATAATATATGCTTAGTCCAAAAATCAGATATATGAAAGGCTGGGGAAAATATCCCCTTTCCAACTTTATAGTTCCTCGTTGGCAGAAGAGAGATGCCTTTAATGCTCAGCAGTGATGTTTATTTTCTTTTTCTTTGTCCTCATTTACAGCTCTTCTCATGAGGAGACTCCTGGCTCACATCCCCTGTATGGACATGGGGAGTGCAAATGGCCTGGATGTGAAACCCTCTGTGAGGACTTGGGACAGTTTATCAAGTAAGTGAACCCTTCAGCTGCTATGCTCATTAGCCAAACTTATACTTTGTTTTCATTAATTTGTAGCCCAGCATAGAGCTAAATGTATTAACAAGAAACACAAGTAATTATTGCTCTTGGATCATGAGGATGGTTTCCTCTATGCTGTACTTTGGCATTACAAAAGATAAAGGATCCTTGATGCTCTCTGAGCTTGTTTGTTGTTGCTTTTTTTTTTTTTACAGACGTTTCATTACCCAAACTAGATAACATCATCAGTGCTAGTAAGGAATGCGGTTTGCTGTCAGTTTATATCCTTACTAGCACTGTTGAGGTTACCTAGTTTGGGTAATGAAACGTCTGCAAGAAAACTTAAGCTCAGAGAGCACCAAGGACCCCTCCTTTCAACCCTGAGCTACAAATATTCTCCTTTATTGATAACAGAAGATAGTTTTGCTACCTTTAAAGCAGGGGTGTCAAACTGCTGGTCCATGGGCCGGATCCGTCATGCTGAAACCACGCCCACCCCATTACCAGCAATGGAAAAAAAGTCACAATACGTCGCAACACGTTACGAATGATGTTGCGAATTTGACACCCCTGCTTTAAAGAAATAGTTGCCTAGCAAGTTTTGACAATTGACCCCTTTTTGGAACTGAAGCAGAGCTATCTGCCATTGTTATATATAGAGACATTGACCATGGTATATGTTTTCAAAATTTCATGAAATGGAAGTAAGTCACTCTGACCCTCACTTGTGAAGTATAGTTAGGTTCCCATTATATACTTAATAGAGAGAATGTCGAAAGCTGTGAGGCACCATGGCTATACACTAAGAAAGGGATGTACAAAAGGGGTGTAGACAGGAGGAAAAGAAGATGAGGGATCTACAGAAATGAGACCAGCAAAGTTTATAACTTGTCCATGTTAGGCAAAGAAAGGCAGGAAGGTGGGGGCGGAAGAGAGAACTAGAGAGAAACAGATGGCAGCACGGCAGCCTGCTGACACCGCTTGTGGGCTCTGTCACTGACTGATTAACTCTGCTGTCTAAGAGCCCTCTGCTAGCGTCAGGGTCAAACAAATTGTTTTCACGCTTCGTCAGAGGTTTACTTAATTAGTTCATTTGCAATTAGATCTCTTTGTAGCCAAGATTTTTAGCAAAGACATCAGATGAAACTGACGGGTTTTCTTTTCCTTGCCTCTTTGGGATTTTCCCCTCCCCTTCTTTGCTTTGTGACTACACATGCTCCCCCTCTCTCATGCACATATACCTCTGCTTGTTTTCACCCCCCCCTTCCCACTCTACTGCCTTTTTGAACAGAATGTTGAGGAAGGGGGTGGAAATGATGTTAAGAAGGTGGGAGATTGGGAAGCACAGCCTGTGTGCCTAATCAGACAGTGTGTAATGTTATTCTGCAAACGGAGCATTTCAACAAATCTTCCTTTTACTAATGGAATAGTTTATATAGTCAACAAGTGTCAACGTAAAAGACTTGGATACTCCTTCCAAACTCCTTCCAGCATTTTGCATTTTGAAATGAGGAGGGCAAGTGGAGAATTGTTTTCATATATATGTGTATTTTTTCTCTGCCCCTTCAAAGTCTTCCCAAGATTAGAGAATGCTTCCCTTCATCTCAGTCTTCACAAAAAGGATGTCTTGACATTGCTGTGATTCTCTAATACTGCACAGAACATCATTTAATTACTAATTACTAATTACCAAAAATCTTGCAATGAGATATAGTTTATTTCATTAGCTGACATTAGGATAACTTTTATTTAGAACTTAATTTCCACTTCAAAGCTTGCATCTCCAAGTTCAGGTTTGTTCTGGCTTTATTTAGTATAGCAATAAGTGTGATGCTTCAGTTATTGCCCTGAACTTCACAGCAGATTTCTTCAACCAGAGAAGTTTGTTTAGGAGTCTACAGCAGAGAGATTGCTGCTAAGAAATAGAAGAAAAGCCCCTATTTTTTAATCCATCTCACCAAGATGAAAAAAATAAAAAAAAATAGAGACTGATAAATTGTTATTCTGTTAAATTGGTTTGTAAACATGACATTGTGATTCTGTGATTCAGGATCTCCACCTATTCCTTTGATTGTCTTATCCCTTCAAACTATAAAAACCTGGGCTTGAATGTGTTGTGTATATATAATATGCCATTAGAGAATTAGCTTTGAAAGAGGAAGTTCTGGAGACAAATCCCTGCTCAGTTTATTGGGCTACTGAATCAAAGTTACTGATAGACTAGCTAAGAGTTATTTCCCCATAGGATATCTTTCACAGTTACTGTCATGATAAAATAGAAAAACGTAATGTTGCCTTGAGCAAATCAGAAGAAAAACAGAATGAAAATCTGATAAATAGGAAAATGTAACTGTATAACATAGACTGGATTGCAGCTCTCAAACATAAAACATTAAAAGAAAACTGCATAAATGAGTTCTGTTAATTAGGCACTGTTCATGTCAAATCCTTAGAGAAAAGTTGATATTTTCCATTTTAGACACCTCAATACAGAACATGCACTTGATGACCGGAGTACGGCTCAGTGTCGAGTTCAAATGCAAGTGGTACAGCAGCTGGAAATACAGGTCAGTATAAATGTATGCAATAAGATATATACTGCTCAAAAAAATAAAGGGAACACAAACGTATAGGATCCTATACTTTTGTGTTCCCTTTATTTTTTTGAGCAGTATATTTAATTCTGTAAAACATCCTAGAAGCTGTAGCCTTGAGTATCCGCTTACCTGATTTAAAGTTTACTTAAAAGCTATTTCCCAGATAGTTTTTACTCCTTTATTTAACCATTGTAATTTTTGAATTGCATTCTGCCATCTTGATTATAGTAAATGGAAAATGGAAAGTACAAATTGGATTCAGCGGGCATAGTTGCCACAGTCACCATGGAACATGTGTCATTGTTACAAAAATGGCAGTTGCTATACCTCTTTTGAATACCACATGGTTCATACCTCATTTTTCCACTCCACAATGCATATACCTCATCATGTGTTAGAGAACTGCTCTTGTGGAGAGAAAAACTCCCTTAGTGAAGAGCAGCTTGAGGTTTCATGATTTGCTCTGCTGTAGCAGGTTTTCTCATTAGTGACATGTTTGTCAAATCAAGGTAGGCTACTGTGGCTTTGAAAACTTACTATGAAAGGAAGCAAAAATATAGTGGACAATTTACTTGATATGTTGTATTTCTAACATAGAAAAATCACAATTTACAGAGCAGAGGAAACTGATTTAATAGGCTGATTATTTGCACACCTCAAATGTTGAAAGATTCTGAGTTGTGTGAACCAACCAACAAATAAATCCAGCAGTGCTAGCTGAATGTGCTTATATGGCATTGAACTGATTTTCCACAATCTTCCCTCACCTGAGTTTTGTTTTATGGTTCTAGAACTGAACATATTTTATGATGTTTCATATGAGTTTATAGATTCTTAATATGGGTAATGGGTTTATCAAAACTAGGTAGCTATGTTCAGAAAGCAGCAGCAGCAAAATTTTCTTTCTTTTTGATTTGGGAATATCTAGTAATGTAAAATTATGCAGATTTTCACATTCTCCCAAAAGTGATTGCCAATGAAGGGGAAAGAATTTAAAAAACAAAAACAGGCAACTCAATATCTTTATGTCACACATTTCATCTTTTGAATGTTACCGCTCCATGAGTAAGGATAAGTGGTACCCTGCTACTGATCTGTACGGCAGTCATGTAACAACTATAACATTTATTTGAGGGCCATAAATTATAAACAGTGACAGAAGGCTGTAACATTAACAGATTGAAAGTTAGCATCTCAAAGGGCGATGAGAGAAAGTGTCCATGTGGAGGTAACTATAAATGGCTGTTAAATGTATGGGATGTGGTGAAACAGCATGTAATCTATGATATGTAACAGGGAATGCCCTTTGTTTTTAAACTTCTTCTGCAGGCTCTGCCAATACTGATGCTTGCTTGATGAATTCCAGAGAGATGGAGCAGGAGTTTCTTTTTATCCATGTTGTTACATGAATTATATATGAGCGGATGGGGATGGAGCATTTCATGGGGCATGACTCTGCAGCAACAGAATTAGTGACAGAGGAAAGAGACTGCCAGGGAGATAGCCAGTTATAACATAGTGGAGGCCATCTCTGTTGAAAGTTAAATTAAATCAGTAGGTGCAAATGGGGTTGATTAGAAGAATGCATCATTTACGCCAAGTAAAACAGACTAAGAAAGGGCATTTAAAGAGCAGAGTTAAGTTTTTTATAGCCTTCAGTCAACTATGTGAATTTCTCCTATTCTCAAATAGACTTTCAAGCAATTACTGATCCTTATGTGGGAGACAATCCTTTAAGAGAGCAGAAAGTTGTATGTGTGAACAGAAGAACATGCCATTGCTCCCTATTACAAAGTTTTCACTGCAGAGATCCTACAGTGCATCACAGGAATGGATCTGCCAGCTATAATGAAAGCCACAATACTGTCAGGTCATTCTTGTGTCACAACCTCTAAAGCCTTCAGCAAACTCAACACTGCATTTAATTCATGCCTTTTTAGCCCTCATTTTTTTCTTCTGAGAAGGGATTCTGGAGATAAATGTTCCTTTTTACATAAACCTTGCAGTCTGCCTCAGCACCCATCAGGTCTGGGTGGAACTAAGGAAAAGTTTGAAAATTTAGAAAATGAAGGTGACAGTAAGATACTGCAGGTTCCACTGTTTTTACAGCACCCAGTCTCTCCAGTGCCATAGCACATATTTCACCCTTCCCCACACCCTGAGAAAGAAAGTCTCTCTCACACAACATAAAGCATGCAGCTAAAATAATATTGCACAACTGGAGAGGTAGGGTAGGCAGGTGAATGGATAAGTTGACAAAGACAAGAGAAAAGTGAACAGATTTCTGAGAGGAAAGGATATTAGAAAGATGGTTGATCTAATCCAGCAGCATTCCTTATGGGACAGGATGCTAATACCAGACACGTAGAGAAAATAAACCAAGTTCTGTTGGATGTGAAGAAGAAAAACTGAGTGAAAAGGTGTTTGTGGATGCTGAATTCTGCATATGGACATAGTTTTACTTGCTTATAATAGCCTATCTCTGTACAACCAAAACTAATTTCCTTACAGTAGATGCATCAGAGCTGAAAGCATTTCCATGCATCCTGAATCTGACATCCACTTGTGAAAGACAGTAATTTAGTGGCCTAGAAATGTACTGCTCTTGCCAGAGTCATAATATTAAGGAATAAGAAAAGCTAGTTTTTTCTTTTCAGGTATGCTCTAAAAGACAGCAAGACAAGAGTTAAAGGAACAGCTTTGTAATGCCACATTACAGCATGTAAGAAGAATTAGTCAAGATGAGAGGAGAGCATGCGTACTCTGAAGCTGAACAGGGCAAGCTAAATAGCTGGTTTTGGTTCCTGCTGATGGAAAGGGAGCCATTCTAGGGAGTGATTATCAAATGAACTTTTATCTTGGCCCTTTTTCTAAATAAATGGACCATTGTAAGGGATGTTTCCTCCAAACAAATAACTTCCTGTTTGGTTCTCTCCACAGCTAGCTAAAGAAAGTGAACGTCTCCAGGCAATGATGGCCCATCTGCATATGAGACCTTCAGAGCCAAAACCCTTCAGTCAGCCTGTAAGTCTGGTCATTTCTGACACATATGCCCCAACTTATCTTTATAATAGGAATTATTCTAAAAGATGATGTCATGATCTTAGGGGATTGATTCAGGGCTGAAAACCAGTGTTGACTGTGACATTATTATTAAGTTCAAAGTGGAGGTATTGTTTCCACGGAGCACATTATGAGCTACCCGAGTTTGAGATGACAGCATAAAGATACTGTGGAAGACAAAAAGATTTTTGTTCCTACTGAAGAGGCTAAATAAGATGTTACTGTTTTCTCAAGCAACTTGTTTGAATGCTTGGAGATTACTCTCTTCAGATGAAATCATGGAGGTCAAATGAGAATATAATAACTAACAGACCAATTATCGACAGTACTCCAGTTTTATCATAGTGATGCTCTTGTTCTAATGGTTGCCTCCAAATCCTCTGAAAGTTTCGGACTTCATGGTTTCCTAGAAGATTGATCCAAAGGTTAGGTAAGCTCTTCCAGGCAATGACTTGCCTCCATGTGACTTCATAAAGCGCTGTAATGTAGTTGCATGCTGTATAAATAAAAATAAAGGTCCTCTGCTAAGTCTACTTTAGGATTGTTAATCTGTTCTTTCTATATACAGACAGCATAGCTTAGAAGTTGCGTCTAGTTAGCCAAAATCACTGATCTACACCATTAATAGAAAAGAAAATGTCATTCTTGAACTGAGAAAAATAATAGAAAGAATACACTGCTGCTTAAGTGAGGGACTACCAGCAAGAGCTGAAAAGCTTTGCTATCTGAAAATGTGGAGACAGCAGACACAATCCTGATGTCATGACTGATACTAACAAGAGCTAGGAACTTGCATGTAGGGTGTGCCACTGGCTCCTTCCTGATCTGTTGCCCATTTAAGTGTTTATCAGCATTCCATATGGCTACTAAGGAAAAGCCAACTTATGACATGATGTCCTAGACCACTGCTAGAAGAATTTGCTAGGAACTCTGCTAGAAGAATTTGAATTGTTAACCTAAATATTTAATATTTTCCTTTTGCTATCTTATTCTGCATTTTGCCCATATGGCATTTGGACCTTGTTACCACAGTCCATGAGAAGGAAGGCAGCTGTAATCATAACTTGAGGAAAGAGTAAAAAAATATATTGCTACCAATGCCTCAGAATAACTTATTGGAAGACATTTATGTCCTATCTTTCTTGCCAAAAGCATCAAATAGTGTGGTTTATATCATGTAAACATTGCAAAAAAATATTGTAAAAAAATAGTATAAATCGATCAGTCAAGGAGCTAAATCAAACTGTGTCTTTAGCACATAATGAAGACTAGTAAAGAAAGATGCAGCCCCCACCAGGGTAAAACATTTTTTAGTCTGAATGCAACCATTGAGAAGACTTGTTTTTCCCTTTCAAACATGTTTTTGTGATAAACAGGAAGTAGAATCCCCTCCCCCTTCTGTTTTTAGCAAGCAAAATGCAGGAAGGAGAAACATGCTAAGTTATGTATCTCAGACATCAGTATTTTGAATCAGACCTGGAAGCTGTTTGATTACCAGTGCAGCTCTTGCAGGATTGATATAATGTGATTGTTTGTTTGTTTGTTTTAGGAAATTATCTGTTTTTAATTTCAAAGCCACCAGAGAAATTCATGTTAAAAACTATGTGTGGAAACTGCATAATAATCAAAATCATAAAATCACTGTATGCATAAGTGTTAATAATCAGTTATTAGTGTAAAGATAAGTTTTGCAATCCTATTGGTAGCTCTTATATGCTGTAAAGGCAATCTGGACCAAGGTCAGCTTCTGTAGGCTTTTCAGAGATACTCCATATAAATTGCATTCTACATGTCCAGTAAGAATATGAATGAAGCATGTGCAACTATGTCAAGACCTGATCCCCAGAAAAATGATCAGACTAGTTTCAAGTGACCAAGACCCTTCTCACTATATCTGCTAATGATTGTTAATGTGTAGCCCTAGCTACACATGAATGTCACAGATTTGTGACCATTTTAGAGTCACAGATTTGTCTGTCTCTAGAGGTGGGTAATATAATTCCTCCTTCAAGATTGTTAGCACAAGCCTCTTTTTCAAAAAAACATTATTATCTTTCAGATCCAGTTCCTATTCCCACCTTGTTTGCTCAAATAAGTTAGAAGACCAATGATCCAACCTACAGCAACTGATATCATGCTTGAAAGATCCCAATCCACTTCCTTGGATTCAGTTCTGTACATTCACTAATGTGCCCTCCAGCCATTTTTCCTATCTATATTCCCACCTATAAGAAACAAGAGCTGTATCTGCTTTTTTTCCTACTCTTTAAAACAACTTTCCTAAGTTGTGATATTTCTAATATTAAAATAAGATCCAGATCCTTGTCCAGTTGGATGATTGGTTCATTACTGCAGTGTGTGATTCAATGTTGATAATGAAAATTTAAATCAGTTTACAATAGTAAGGAATTTGGGTATACTGTTCTCAATATATAATAGTACATCACACCATTGTTCTTCTCTGCAGAGAGCAATTTAAACTTTTGCAAGCCTGATTCCTTAACTTTAGCACTAGTTGTGATACAGATTTAATAATGCTGAACTTTGAGGTGATAGAGTTGGGTAATCATCACTGAAAATTATTCTTCTTAAAATATACCAAAACTAATACTAGGGATTTGTTGTTGTTGTTTTAAAATTGGGAGTATCTTGTTTTAGGTGGTAATATTTTTTTCCTATACCAACCAACATACTTTGTTATAACTAAAGTTGGTAAGAGTTTCAAGAATCAATTTATCATGACTTGGTCCAATATACTTGAAATACAGTGGTTCTAATATCTTGAAATCTGTCTCAACCAGTTGTCAATGAATGAGGCCTCATTGGCATATATTTACTTTCACTGGTGTAATCTCTATTGATAAATTATGATCACCACCTGCTTTTTCTTAACAAATATTGTTTACCCACTTCTGGACTAGTTCTAATCATGGTCTTCTTTTAATCCTCCTTGAGTAGCTGAATCTGGTTTCCAGCGCTACAATGTCCAAAAGCACTTCTGATACCTTTCCTGATGGATTACCTCATCCCCCCACCTCTGCAACTGCACCCATTACTCCATTGCGACAGGGTCCTTCTGTTATCAGCTCCTCCACTTTACACAATGTAGGGCCTATTCGCAGGAGAAACTCAGAGAAGTTCTGCACACCAATTTCCTCAGGTGAGATAGTTGGGGAGAAGTTTCAGTTACATCAGATATTGTGCTGAAATTGATCATTTGAAATGTCTTTATAACTTGTTTTCTTCTGTCTAGAACTTGCACAGAATCATGAATTTTACAAAAATGCAGATGTCCGCCCTCCCTTCACATATGCCTCACTTATCCGACAGGTAAAAACCTCTTTATTTTGTAAGAATGTACATAAATACATTGCTATCTGGAAAAAGCAGCAATCCTTCTTAGGAAGTGCTCACACTTGTTAATTGTACTCAATTGTTAATTGTGGCAAGTGTTTCTAATAGGCCAGTAACATACTCTTAAGTTTTTGCCTTCTGTCCTAACTCTGGGGAATGCAGTATGGCTAAGCTGCAGATTTGACTACTGATTTACATTTTGAGAGCAGAATTACCTGTGATCTTAAGCCTTTGTTTGTGCCTTTCACTAAGCATTCTAGTACTGCTGGTAAATGAATCAGATACATATTTTTTCTTTTGTCTATTTTGTGTGAAGAGACCTAGAGACAAAAGCATAAGGGCTGTATCTCTAGTTTTTATTGCTCTTTAATTTATTTATAATTATAGTTGTATCCTGCTCGGATCATACAGCTCTTGGCAGTTCTGACCTTAGTGCTTCTTAATGCACTGCTTTATATAGTCAGGTTAATAGCTCCCTGAATAAGGGTAAAGAAGGAACTTGAAAAAAAAATGACAGTAATATGCTCAATTCTTATTAGTAAAAATCTGCCCTTCAGTGTCTTCCTGAATTTATAGACATACGGCAATGTAATGTTAAAGTTATTTTGGTTCAAAATGAACTAAGGCTTGCGACCAAAGTCAAAAATAACAAAAAAAGCTTCTTTCAACATGTAAAAAACAAGAAAAAAGTGAAGGAAATGATTGGTCCATTAGTGGGTGAAAGTGGTAAGAAGGTGACTAGCAATAGGGAGAAAGCAGAAATATTTAACTCGTTTTTTGCACCAAGAGAAAAAACAGACCAACCTATCAAAAATAGTGCAATGAAAAACAGTATAGAAACACAAGTTAAGATAGGCAAGAAAAGTGAGCGCCTGTCCAGCCTAGACAAGTTCAAATCACCAGGACCAGATGGATTACACCCCAAGGTTCTCAAGGAACTGGCAGATGTGATCTCAGAACCACTGAACTATATTTTTCAAAGATCTTGGAGCACTGGGGAACTACCAGAGGACTGGAAAAGAGCTGATGTAGTTCCAATCTTCAAAAAAGGAAAAAAAATGGATCCGGGAAATTACAGACCTATCAGCCTGACCTCAATACCTGGGAAGATTCTGGAAAAGATAAACAATGAATCAGCGAACACCTAGAGGCAAACAAAGTCATTACTAAAAGCCAACATAGGTTTGTCAAAAATAGATCATGCCAGACAAATCTAATTGCATTCTTTGACCAAGTGACAAAATTAGTGGATCAGAAGAATGCTGTGGATATAATTTACTTGGACTTCAGTAAGGCATTTGATAAAGTAGATCACAACCTACTACTCGATAAGATAGAAAAATGTGGGTTAGACAGCATCACCACCAGATGGATTCGTAGCTGGCTGACCAGCCGTACTCAGCGTGTGGTCCTCAATGGAACTGCATCTACATGGAGGGAAGTATGTAGTGGGGTGCCCCAGGGCTCTGTTCTAGGCCCAGTGCTCTTCAACGTCTTCATCAATGATTTGGATGAGGGGATAGATGGGGAACTCATCAAATTTGCGGATGACACCAAGCTGGCAGGAATAGCCAACACTCCAGAAGACAGGCTTAAGACACAGGAAGACCTGGACAGACTTGAACACTGGGCACTATCTAACAAAATGAAATTCAGTGGTGAAAAAAGTAAGGTTCTACATTTAGGCAAGAAAAAACAAATGTACAGGTATAGTATAGGGGGTACCTTGCTCAATAGTAGTAACTGTGAGAGGGATCTCGGAGTCCTAGTGGACAATCACTTAAATATGAGCCAGCAGTGTGCTGCAGCTGCCAAAAAAGCCAACACGGTGCTGGCTGCATTAACAGAGGGATAGAATCAAGATCATGTGAAGTATTAATACCACTTTACAATGCCTTGGTAAGGCCACACTTGGAATACTGCATCCAGTTTTGGTCACCACGATGTAAAAAAGATGTTGAGACTCTAGAAAGAGTACAGAGAAGAGCAACAAAGATGATTAGGGGACTGGAGGCTAAAACATATAAGGAACGGTTGCTGGAATTGGGTATGTCTAGTTTAACGAAGAGAAGGACAAGGGGGGACATGATAGCAGTATTCCAATATCTCAGGGGCTGCCATAAAGAAGAGGGAATCAAGCTATTTTCCAAAGCACCTGAAGGCAGGACAAGAAGCAACGGATGGAAACTAATCAAGGAGAGAAGCAACCTAGAACTAAGGAGAAACTTCCTGACAGTTAGAACAATTAACCAATGGAACAACCTGCCTCCAGAAGCGTGAATGCTCCAACACTGGAAGTTTTTAAGAAGAGACTGGACAGCCATTTGTCTGAAATGGTGTAGGGTTCCTGCCTGAGCAGGGGGTTGGACTCGATGACCTCCAAGATCCCTTCCAACTTTATTACTACTACTATTATTATTATTATTATTATCGATCATCGCACAGTCAGCCAGATGTTCAGACTGGATTTGGCATTTTGTCTACCTTTTGAGTCCTTACCCAGGACCTAGGATAGGCAGATGTGGATGTTTGATGGTATTACAAATATTGTCGCAGGATGTTTTATTATTATTATTGTTATTATTATTATTTCTTTCAGAGTTGCTAACGTTGCACTGAGTAACAAAACTCTCCCTTTAAAATAACATTTATTGATTAATGCTGTTTTCTGATAAATTTTGTTGAAATATTTTTATTAATGCTAATTAGTAGGTTAATTTAATTTAACTAATCATACTCAAGCATTTAATATTTGTATATATTGTCCCTTTATACACAAGGAAGAGGTCAATGTTTACTGTAGATTCATTTGTATCAAATGTTTCTGATTTTTAGATTCAGTATAATCACCTGCTTCATTTATGTAAGACTGTAGAGTTCCTATATATTCATATTAGTGGTTCGTGACTACTGATTTCTCCTTCCAATCTTAATTTTCTGGCAGAGCAGATACCATTTTCTTTGGGTCATAATGTCCTGTATGAACTGCAAACTTCTATAAAGTTCAATTCTCATTTCTTTCTCTATTCTGCCTTCTATTCTATTCCTTTTCTTAACTTAATTTTCTATTATTTTTTTTATTTTTATGTTACTTTTACATAAAAAAGTTAATATAACTATTTTTTTTTAAAAAAGCTAAATTCCCTGAGAAGATGGCTACTGTTGCTCCCTGATAATACTGTATAGTGTTGGCATGTCCATTTTACAGTGAATAGAAACAAGCTTGGTAGCTTACAATGTTTTCCTGTGGCTCTGACCTTATAGCCCTATTTCCTTCGGGCCAACTAAATGCTTTTATAAACTCTTTATTTTGCATTTAAAATATGTTCAGAAGGACAAGCTAAGATCATTACTCCTATTATGTCCTTCTTAGCATTAGTCTTTTAAAGACTATGCAAAAAGTCTGAATTAGATCATTTCCTGGGAACCTATTCTTCTTATTTTCAGGTCTTTCAGATTAACCACTTTGGGATATCTCTGATTTGATCAACTTTTCCAAGAGATGCTTTGAAAGTTTAAACAAATATTCTCACTTACCAGCTCCCCAAAATATTTTTCCCCTTGGTGCAGGTAGTGACATGTGTAGAAATATTTGGTTAGATCAAATGACATCCCAACCTTGCTGAGTTAAAAGCTGATACAAATTTACCGTCTCCATCATATTCACAATCCTGCAAATTTTGATTGTGTTCCATTTTTAACTATACCACCACCCAAAACTGATTGTGCCAAGTGCCTGAAGCATTTTCTCATCTGAGTTATAAACTTGAAAGCCATCATGTTATCTTTTCTCAGTTGACTTTGCTAAATTCTGGGAAACATAATAAAAATGAAAAGAAGAAAGAAGGAACCATTTTAGGGAAGTTTTCTTCTTTTGCTACATAATTAGAAACAAAGGCATAAGAATCATGACCAGTTTTTGAAGAATGTTTGAGTGCCTATTGACAATCTGTCTTTGTATAGTACAGTTCTCAGTTTGGAGACATGATTACTGTACCTGCCTTGCTTAATCTCCATTTTTGTACTTTGGGAATAATAATTAGCAATTTTGTACTTATTATTTAACAAATCTTGTTCTCAGCACTTAAGCCTTCAGTATTGTATGTAGAACAGAATATTGTTATATTTGCATAAGGGAATCTTCTGCTAAATGGAACTATCTAAAACTTGTATTCCCTGAGCACTGCTACTTCTGATCTACATAGATTAGATCTACTTTTTTATGTGAGATGGATGACCTTATTAGACCTACTGGCTTATGTGAGAGGTAGCCATATAAACTGAAATTAAAATTAAAAGTAATGTTTAATTTAACTAACAATTAAATTAAAAAAATAAGAAATACTTATTTTTAAAAAAATAAGAAATACTTTAGAATCATTAAGCCTACAAAATGGTATTCTACATTCAGACAAAGAAAATAAATGGATAGGTTGGATGGTCTGGTTACTTTTTTAAATAAAATATTGAAAGAACTAATTTTACTTGGAAAATTTGTATATCAGATCCTGGAATTAATAATAATCTAATATTAGCAAATATTGAATTTCTCTGAACATACAAATACAACATAATTAAAAAGACCTTGGAGTATGTTCTTTACATTTTCTTTTGCTACTCAGCTGCATGGTGATACATTATTGTGTCCATAATACCTACCTTTACTGGCTTCTACTGCTGTGTCTTGGAATAAATAATGTTAAGTATTGATGTTACAGTATGTCATTTCTAGATACTTCTACATTTTTGAATGTCAACTGATTGATTCACAAATATGTATGTAACACTCAATGCTTTGTCATATAGCTCACTGAGTCATAAATTCAATTTACTAAAAACCTGTGGTTTCTGGGTAACATCATTCCATAGGAAAACCTGATAATATAGAATCTATATGGCTACTTTGCTCACACTAATTCTCACTTCATTTTCTAATCATTAAGTGAAGCAAAATAAATATGTATGCACTTGTCCTAAGTTCAGCATTTTTAACAAGTGGTTGAAAGTTTTGTAACCATACCATAATGTCAGTCCCTTTTGATATTGTTAATAGTAGTTCACCCAGGAATGATGATGAGAAATGCTGAGTCTTATATCTGAGAATGACTTTTTCTCATGTCTAAATGTAGGCTATCCTTGAGACGCCTGACAGGCAGCTAACATTGAATGAAATCTACAATTGGTTCACACGGATGTTTGCCTACTTTAGGAGAAATACAGCTACATGGAAGGTAAAATTTAACCTAAGATTTAAATATAGCTTTGGGATATATAATATTCTTCACAACAATATCACTTTTTAAAGAAACATGGAATTCTATTAATAGAATGATTAATAAATATAGAGAAATGAATGAAGTCAGAAAAAATTAAGAAATACTAATTGTATAAATGTAGTGGGTAGTATGTAGTGTGTAATGAAAAATTATGTTTATAGAAAGAAATGAAAAATGGCTATAGGTAAGTGTGTTTCTACCTACTTGTATTGATTGTATTTTATGATATTAAGAGCTAAACATGTTATGTAATACACAGGAGTCTAACGCAATGAGAATATATTTATTTATGAAGTGTATGAAGAAACAATAAGTAGGAATTAATAAGAAATGTATGGATATAAGTACAAAAGTGACCAGTATGTAAAAAAGATTTTGATTTGATCATATGTAATGAATGAATGAGAAGTACATTGCAATATAAATAATGAAGGAAAAGTGAAAAGATTTAGAAGTTGCTGGATGACACTGATGAATTCCTCAACTTTAACTTGTAAAGGAGAGGTTACAAGTTACAATTGAAGAAAAAGCAATATGTGAAGCACGGGACGGCCATGATGAAGATAAGAAAGGTCTGCAGAAAGATTATGGAGAAGTATAGTGAGCAGTCCAGAGTTCCTTTGGATAGTGAGATCAGCGGCATATAAATTTAATAAATAAATAGTGATGATGTTAGTGTAAATTAAATTTAATTGAATATCTTTGTTTTCCCACTTTAATTTCTTTGCCTTATATTTCTGACATCATTTCTGTGCTCTGTCTAATGTTGTTAACCACAGAATGGAATTGCGTGTTGGTTGTATGTATGTGTCTGTGCATGTGTGTACATGTTCTAAATGTAGAAGACATATAGGATTGAATTCAAAATTCTTAGAAAAGCAGTATATGTTTATGGCTGAACTGGGTTGTATTTTATTTGTATTCTGAATGTGGACATGATTTTAAGAATTTTACAGAGGTTATATACAATTGCATGTCAATACAGTCACTCTGTGATTCAGTAGCAGCATGGTTGAGTTTCCTTATTTCATTCCATGTTCCACAAAATCTGCATTGAAGATCTTAATATGTAAAGGTAAAGAGGGAGATAATAAGAATATATTGTGCTATATAATGCACTTGGGTGTTTGAAGTAACTTGACATGACCCAATGAAATAAGTAAAATGATATTTGAGTGACTTGTGAATCTTTTTCTTTTCTTTTTTTGCTTCCACTATAATATGTGTGGAAGACAAAATTCTTATCGCTCCTTCAATGAAATGTATGGGTATTCCATATCTTCCACGAGTAAGGTGATCTCTTCTTTAGCCATTACCCAAAGTGGAGAAAATAGATATCGTGAGTCATTTTGTATCCATTATTATGTTGCTTCCAGTTATGATGAAGTGGTTCTGAGTCTGTCGGGACTGATGAATTCCACCTTCTTGAGCACGAGATATTCCTTTGCCCCTATGGCTTTCTTTTTGAGCTGTGGGCTATAGTTTCTCTTGATGAGAATGTATAGTTCCTCAGCACAATAAACAGATAATTTAACATAAAATGTGTCAAAGTGCATGGATGATTAAACAAGATTAGAGAATTAGATTCCATCCCTCAGAACAATGTATTTTAGCTGCTGAGGTGGGGATAAGGATATGTGGGTTGGTGACAACAGCATGTGACCAGTCTGTTCCATTATAAGCCTGCAGAAATAGGTCTGCAGCTGCATGCATGTAGCTTCAGTACAAAAAAAGCAGAAGGGAAGTTCAAGATGCTGAAATAGAAAATAAGGTTAATGATAACCTGGGGGTTGGTATCTCACTGCATGTGGCAAATAGATGTTTCAGTCAACCTAGCTATCATTTAGGTTAGTTTCCCAGATTACAAGGAGTACTTGCCATAATACAAATGGCATCCTAATGTGTGTGTGTGTGTGTGTGTGTGTGTGTGTGTGTGTGTTCACAAGAGAAAAACATACAATACTCAACTCAAACTTCGTTTTCAGTCCTGGTAGAGAAGTTAAGCTTTACAATGCAAGTTAGTCTTATAATAGTTTCCAGTATCCAGTCTTTTATCCTGAATAAACTCTTGAGGTTCTAATTAAGATCTTATCACTTGGTATATCTATTCCTCCAATTGTAAAATAAAAAAGAGGAAGTTACTGTTACTTGTATCATCATAAATCTTTGAGGACAGTTGAGGGTTTAAGTCTGGCCATAATCATGTTTGTGCATGTCTCTATTTCACTTTTTTAATTACCTCATGGGAATTAAAAAATTATCAGAACAAAGGCAGAATCTGAAAATTTTACGTGGAGAGCAATGGAAGATGTCCATAGTTCAATCATAGAGAACAAGAATTCACATAAAACAACTGTGGTCCATCATTGTAGATTATAGGGAATAGTAAACTAAATGGACCAAGTAGGTTGTGTGTGTGTGTGTGTGTGTGTGTGTGTGTTTCCCCTAATTCCAGCCAATTGTATCTTGTGTCTAGAAAACTAACAGTTTAAAACTATTAGATGACAAGGCTTGTTTATATTATAAAATCCAAAATACCCTCTTTTCAGATTTATTTTTTCTGGTTAATATTTTAGAAAAAACACATATCCTTGAAATATGAAATGTGTGTGTGTGTGTTTGTGTGTCTTTTTCTTCATGTGAAATAGTACTCAATTTCCATTTTTAATTTGTATCTTGACCTGTTAATAACCTCTGTCTCTGAATCTATTTGCCCTTCCTTGCTTCAGTGATATCTGGAAATAGAAGAGACTATTTCTCCTTGGCATGTAAAAATGGGGGTGGGAGAAAAAGAAAAGCAGTGGGCTGTCTCCAGAGCAGAGGAGGGGTGTCATGTTCCTGCAGCTGGGCATCTTTTGCCTTTCAGACAAAGCCCCGATAAGATTCCATCCTCCAGACATGACATAATTCTGCCAGTGTCACACTCGGGCCGATACAATCACTCCCTTAGACGGGAAGCCAGAGTTATTGTGTAGCCGTCAGACTTTGATAACGGGCAAGCAGAACTTGCTGCTTGTTAAGCAAACACAAGTCTGAGAGCAGCAAATTACTCTGAGAATGAAAAGGAGGTCATGGCATTAGGCTGTTGTGGGAAGTGAGTTGATTTGGATCAATCCAAGAGGGATCAAGGAAGTCTGAACTTGCCAGTGAAGTTGGTTGGAGAAGGCAGCTGCCCTGGAGTCCAACCCATGCTTTGAGAGGATCACTCTCTAGGTTCATCTGTGAAGTAACTCAGTTATGAGATTTCAGAGAGCAGGTGGAATATAACCAATTCTTAAGATACTTCTTGCTTCCCTGGGAAAAACAATTTTGATTGTACTAGTTAAAAATTGCTGCTCGAACTTGCTACTTGAGCATTCTTTTTGGTTATGGTGTGGAATGTTTGTGAACAGTTTGTTTTTTCAGAAGATGAATTGTAAGGTTTCAAGAAAAGAAAGGAAGAAATCATTTCCTACCTTCTTTCCTTCCCATGAAAAAAAACAACAACCCCAACCTACTGTATACGTGATTCTAAGATTGATGCATGATTATTTTTAAGATTAAACATGAAATGCCAAATAATAGGACTTCAACTAACACAAAATCTTTACTTAAACTTCTAAACATAAACATAATAATATCAGCATTCCCTTATTGTTGGTTTTTGTTTCTATCTTTGATGTGAATTTTGAGTCATTTTATTCCAGGAGCACACATGATATTCAAATGGCTGTGTGGAACATGTTTTAGCCAAGTTACATAATAACTGTAATAGATTTTCTATACAGATAGTCCTCAACATGCAACCACAATTGAGCCCAATATTTCTGTTGCTAAATGAGATTGTTGTTAAGTGACTTTTGCCCCATTTAATGACCTTTGTTGCCACAGTTGTTAAGTGAATCAGTGCAGTTGTTAAATTAGTAGCAGAGCTGTTAAGTGAATCTGGCTTCCCTATTTACTTTGTTTGTCAGAAGGTTGCAAAAGGTGATTCTGACAGCCTGTAACCATCATAAATACATGCCAGTTGCCAAGTATCTGAGTTGTGATCACATGACTGTGGGGATGCTGATGTGGTCTTGGGAAAAGCAGTCATAAGTCACTTTTTTTCAGTGCCATTATAACTTTGGTCACTAAAATTGCTGGCTGTAAATTACTTGTAAAATGGGTCTATGGCAACTCGCCACGGCCAACCCGCCACAGGACAACTTGCCAGGGCCAACTCACTGCAGGACTAGAGTTATACTAATATCAAAGAAATGGTGGAATAGAATCATTAAATAAAGGATGCAAAAGGAAGGACAAAATGAAATATGAATGATAAAAAATAAAATAATTTTTAAATTATTTTAAATAATTAAATTGAATTGTTGAATGTCCATGGTGAGTTGTCCCATGGCAAGTTGGCCATGACGAATTGGCTGTGTTCATTTGGCACTGTAGCAAATTGTCCCATTCTGCTGTAAAACAAAGATATTCAAATTTCATATAAAAGGACAGTCTTTCGCCTTTTCAATCCTATTTCCTCCCATTTTTGGTGACATGAAGATACCAAATCAAAAGCATGGCAAGTTCCTCTATTCAAGTCATCCATTATTTTCATGTATCTTTATTCAGCTACATTGTTTGAACTGTGCCTTCAAGTTCACTAGCTCATTTTTCTCTATATATCCTATAACACCCACCCAAATCATGCATTAAACATGGATCTCAGATACAGATGTGGGATCTGAAACACATATAGATTGAAGTGCCTCTGGGCAGTTCAATCTGTAGTTCATTTTTCTTGTTTCCTTCACAACAATGTACCTGTCTGTGACCCATATTTCTTCAGTCCCCATATACAGTATCTCTTTGTCCCTCTCCACCTCAGTGAATACAGGTAAAGCATTCACTTTCACATCAGTTCAGTAAAGGCCTTTAGTAACTAACTTGGGTTTTCAGATGAGCAGCAACCCACTGATATCATCTGGGCA